TGAACTGCCCTTCTGCTGTTCTCTTTGCTTTTATGTTTTAAGACAGTCTTTATTTTCAGAGGGCTTTCTTAGCCATGATTTCTTTACTCCAGGCAGCTATCTGTGTCACAGGGGCCAAACACACATGATTTGGAGTCTGAAGACCTGGATTCACATCCTAAGCCCCGTTACATATGTCCTGTGTGACCTTGGGCAAGTTACTTCACCCGCTGAGTCTCAGTTTCCCCTCTGTGAAGGGAAGTGGAGGCGGCCTTCTCTCTCTCTCTCAGCATGAGACTGCTCTGATGCTTTCCAATGGCAATGTAATAAGGGACTAAATGAGCCCGAAGGTTCACTCCCCTTCCACTCCTCAGCAAATGTAGTGCCCTGCTGTGTCTGAGTAGTATCCCCTCTGCTCCCGTTCTCTGCCCAAAGGTGGGATTCCAACAGTCGGCCCACAGCTCACTCAGGTCCCTGGTCATTGTGGCCAACAGCAGGTTGCTCATCCGCAGCTTGCAGCCACACCTGTGTGACTGAGGTACCTACAGCCCAAAGTAGGGGACGATCTGCTCCCAGCTGTTTTCAGAATCCCTATAGGTGTCTCACAGGGTTAAGAATGTGGACTTTGCAGCCCAGTTTCCCAGATTTGAAGCTAAGTTACTTTACTTCTCAAAGCTTCAGTTTCTATATGTGCAAAGTGAGGCAGCAATAATACTGACTTCATAGGGGGGTTGAGCATTAAATGTATTACCACATATAAAGTGCTTAAAATACTGCTTGGCACATATTAGGTTGAACCCTATGAAGTTACTCATATTTGATGGCGTTTGACCTAAAATATCAGTAGCTTCGTGTGATCTGACCTAATCGTAAGCACCTAGTGTGCTTGCTTAATGCAGGGCAGACATGTAGCCTCTGGTGACAGCCAGTCACAGCTTCCTTTTACGTTACCTGTGACCTTGAGGTACAGGCTTTTTCTCACAGATGGAATCTGGAGAGCAAGCAGGCATGCTTTGTACCCAGAGGGGAGCAAAGAGTCATTTGCACGTGACTTGGCTCCCTTCCTCGGACAGGCATGCAGCCTGGGCAACAGCTGTCAATCAATTCCTTCCCCTCAGAACAAGGGAACGTTGTCACATGCCACTGCTGGGGTCCTGGTCCCCATGCCGGCAGTTGGGAGGTTGTGTGAGGGGCTCTCGCCTGTGATAGGAATGGCTCAGACCAAGTGGTGCACACCTGAAAGGTATGTGTGCGTCCTCAGCAGCTGCGGTTCTCTCTCGTCCAGGAGCTGGAGTGGCTGCTGGAGATCAACCGGCTCACTCACCGGCTGCTGTGCAAGCACATGACCCTGGACAGCTTCGACGCCATGTTCCGGGAGGCCAACCACAACGTGTCCGCCCCCTACGGCCGCATCACCCTGCACGTCTTCTGGGAGCTGAACTTCGACTTCCTCCCCAACTACTGCTACAACGGATCCACCAACCGGTAAGGAGTCCCTGTCGGAGGGGGCGGGGCGAACTGGGGCCCAGGGAGCAGCCAGCTGCCTCCTCCAAACTAGGCCCAGCCCAGGGGTCCGCTCGTCCCTGCCGCAGGCATCTCACAGGGCCCCTCCTGGGTGCAGGCTCGGTGCTGATGCCTTCCTGCCTCTTGGAGCCAGATCAAACAATCACACAGTCTGTGAAGTGATGTATCACACAGTAAATGTGTTACGATAAGCGGTGAACGTGGAGATGGAAGCAAGCCCACGGAGCCACGAGAGAACAGCCCCACCTGATCCAGTCCGGGAGCCATGCACACCTCAGGAGGGGCTTCCTCCTCTGAGCGGGCATGCTTGAGTTGCAGAGCGGAGGATGAGAAGGCAAAAATAAAGCAAAAAGGCAGAAGAGTATTCCAGGCAAACTTTCTAAGGAGCCAGGGAGCTGGTAAGGGTGGAGCAGGTGGGATGGGGAGTGGTGCCATGAAAGATGCGGCAGGATGCAGGAGGAAGCAGGTCCAGACTGGACTGCTCCACAGACCACATTAGGATCGAGCATTTATGAACCTTTAAGGAAGGGAAGTGACATGATCAGATGGTACTTTTGTGAGGACATATGGGAATGTATGTGTGCAAACAGGCATATGTGTGCAGAGCACACACATGCACGGCAAAGTGGAGCATGTCTCCTGTAGGTGACCTCAGCCCTGGTCCAGGCACCAAGGTAGAAGCAAGACCTGATCCCTTATCCCCACAGAGGTTCAAAACCTGGTGGAAGAGGTGAGAGGTATTCACTTCAAAATAAGTATGTAAGGATGAGCAAAACTGGGCACAGGTCCTCTCAGTATCCTCAGGACCAGCATTCAGTAAGCATGTGCTGAGTGACTGGGAGGTCTGGGAGGAATCCATCGATGCTCCTGAACCCACGCACTTAGCAAGACGCACTTCCTGTTCTCTGAAGATTTGGGAACTTTAATCTTCTTGAGCAAAAGTCTACAAACCCTGGCCCACACGCCACAACCAGTTCCCCGCTATTTTTGTACAGCCCATGAGCTAAGAATGGTATTGATGTTTTCAAATGGTGAGGGAGACGGGGAATCCAAAGAAGAATCCTCATGTGTTGGCAAGTGGAAAGTATTTGAAATTCATAGGAACTCTGCCATGCTCATTCATTTACTATTGTTTACGGGAGCTTTCCTGCGACCAGCAGAGCGGATTTATTTGCAGCAGAGACCATCTGGCTGGCAAAGCTGAAAATATTTGCTGCCTGGGCCTTTATAGAAAGAGTTTGCAGAACCCTGCTCTGTGGAAACCCAACATGGGGGTTGGGAGGTGGAGAGGTGGGGCCCTGGAGAAGGCCATTCTCAGGCCCAGCCCACTGTCACGAGCAGCCACAGGCCCCACATCAAGCCTGTGAGTCTGGACCTCAACTTGCCCATCTTTGGGGAGGAGGCAGTGGTTGGATGGGAGTATGTCGGAGGCACCCACTTGAGAAGCGGTGTGGTTGCACCTGGTCAGGAAGGGCTCCCACTACATCACGTCCCCCGAAGAATATCAGGACTCGGTTAACGCCTGCCCCATCTTTCCTCTCCTAGTTTTGTCCGAACTGCCATTCCTTTCACCCAAGAACCGCAAAGAGATAAACCCGCCAACGTCCAGCCTTATTACCTCTATGGGTCCAAGGTGAGTCGTCTTACCCGGGTCCTACCTCTAAAGGGGCTAGTGAGCAAAAGCAAATGGAAAAGTATTCCCCGAAAGAGAAAAGCAAGGAGTGGAGAAAAGGAGGCAGCAGTGAGATCCAGGCGGAAACGACTGTGAGTTTATTCATCTTTATTAGTTCACAACTAGCAGGGATGGGGGTGGGGGTGAATTCCAGCCAGGGGCTGCATCCTGCGCGGGGACGTTTTGGGGAGGGGAACGGGCAGTGCATGCATGGGGTTTGTCGTCTTGGCATTTGCCCTCGCCTCCTGTTTCTCGGCTGATTCGAGGTGGCATCGTCCTGGGATTCTGGGGGTTGTGCTCTATCAATTTAAGGGGTTCGCAGGCAGGAAGCAGTTGGGAGGGGAAGCTTTGACTGGAGCTAGAACTGAGCAGCTTTGTTCACAAGCACCCATCCTGACGCTACACATTCCCAGTGGTGCCTGTGCTAGACCTTCCATCTACTGCCATGCGTTGGACAGACATTTATTCAACATCCAGGAAAGGCCAGACACTGGGCTGGGTTTTACATGCTGGGGGTGTAACAGAGATTGAAGCAGACGTCACCGCTGCCCTCCTCAAGTTCCAGTTCCACCTCATGGTGACGACAGGGAGCAACGTTCACAGTCTGCCCATCATGACGGATGGAGGAGATTCGCTTCTTACCCCGGGGGGTTAAGGGAGGACTGAAGAATGCCACTGAAGCGGTGAGGTGTGTCAACAACAAATAAAATGGCCACCTTTGACCCCGACTGGATAAACATGGCCTTGTTAGGAAAGGTGGTCCTCAGGGCCGGGAGCCCTGGGTTAGGAAGGGTAATGAACCCAGATGCGCTCCCCCCAGTCGGACCTAGAGGTGGGGCTTAGAAGGGCTCAGGGCGGTGCTGGGAGGTGTCTTCTCCAGAACAGGCAGTCTGGTCCAGGCAACGTTCTCATCGCGGCTCCGACTCACAGCATTTTAGATGGTTCACAGCCACAGCATTAAATCCCAGGGACTCACAAAGTAAGAACACCTCCCTTTCCACTTCTCTTTCAAACCTCGTTGGTTATATCGAGGAGACAGACCCGATGTTGGTGCTAATAGGTCTTTCGTACTTCAATGCTTACTAATCTCCCCTTTTATCGAAGAATAGAAAGCAGGCTTTAAACTTGGAGCCTAGTAGTATCTAGGTCAGATTTATTATTTTGTTTTCGTTCTATTTATCCTTATGTCTCTTCTCTTTATGGCAGGAGGGTGCCGGTATTCATGTTTGGATTCATGTACAGCTTCCTTTTAAAATAAGTTTAAGTTTTAAAACATGAGTCAATTTAAAACTATTTGCTAAGAACAGTAAAGATGGTATCTGGCTTAAAAAACAAACAAAAGTAATGTCTGAGGTGGTATGTGATTGCCTGAAAGTTGGAAAACAGGCTGGGGTGAGTCTTCGTCCACGTTTCCAAAACAGCCTCCCAAAGCAGAGGCTGGGCTTCGGCCTGAAGCTGGCTGGCCGCGTAGCTCAGCGAGCCCGTCTTCACCTCCACAGCTCCCCTGAAGTCCTGTGTTTTGTCAAGTCATGCACATTTCACTTTCTACATTGTAAGGAATTCACATTTATTTTCATGTTAAAATAGGTTTTTATATTTCTAACTGCACCAGCCGACACTGGGCCCCCCCTGAGAGGCCATGCTTCTCCTGGAGCACAGCATGGGGTGAGTCCTCGGCTTGAGGAGTGTGGTCGCTGAGCCAGGTGGTCCACAAGAACACTGAATTTGCGGGGAGACATGGAAAGTCTATGGACACATTTTTACAAAGGAACTCCTGTGTGGAGGGCTTGATGCCACAGATTGGGGGCTGCCTCCTCCCCACCTCTCACCCCTCAAAATGAGGCAGAATGCCAGGTTGGCCACCACCCTCCCTCTGGGGGGCACCTGCGTCAGGGGCATCCGGGTCATCTTCGGCATCTGCATCAGCTGCAGCTGCGGCGTCGGCTGCGGCTTCGGCCTCCGGTTCCACTCCAGCTCCTGAATCTCTGCGTGGCATTTCCACCAGGGGGACCCCCTGCTGGTCTTCCTCCTCCTGATCGAGAGCCGGGCCGTCCCGCGGCCATCTCACCAACCCATTGGCTTCCATTAGGTGGGGCTCTCTGTAAGACCAGCGTGGCACATGGCAGCGGATGCACCAGTACTGGAGGCAGATGAAAGCAAGCACAGCTGTGAAGCAGGCCAGCAGAATGGCCAGCAGGACCCACAGGGAGAGCTGGGGGTTTACCAGGTAGCCTCTGGGAACCAGCGGGTTCTTATCCGGGGTGTAGAACATGGTGCAGTGATGCTTGTGGGGGTAGGTGATCTTCTTGCAGCTGACGCACAGGAAGTAGAAAGTGGAAGGGGCGAGATGCTCGAGGGCCACCCTGCTGACGGTTCGAGGCACCTTCTCCTCATAGTGGAAGCTGTTGCGAATGTAGCCGGTGAAGATGTTGTTCCAGTTGGCCCTGTACATAACATTGTAATGGTCCTCCTGGCAGGGCTCCAAGGGCTTCCAGGAAACGATGGCTCTCGAAGAAGAAAGGTTCCACACCTCGATTTCCATCCTGATCCTGCAACCAGAATCAGAGTGAAGAGTGACTTCCCCTAAATTATTTATGATCATCACAGCCACTGCTCTTTATGGAGCATTCGAGATGGAGACTAATATTACCCCCATTTTACGAAGAAAGTAGAGGCCAAGAGGCAACGTTACCAGCTAGGCATGGCCAAACAACGGCAGGACAGGCGTCCCATCAGGGCTCTCTCATGCCGAAGCTGGAGGCCTTCAGACCTAAAAAGGATGGGCCCACATTCCCCAGTCCCGTCCTGCCCTGGCTCAGATCCTTTACCTACAACGTTGTGCCCAAGCCTTAAAAACAAGAAGAAAAAAGGCAACGAAAGGAGGAAGGCAACTCTCAGGACCACCTCAGAGTCCCTGCGTTAGTCACCACAGGTCTGAGACCTGCAAGCCAGGCAGGTATTTCACCTAAATTTCCCTTCCGGACCTCTTGCATCTTCTCTAAGTGCTGGTAGCTCCACCATCTAGAACATTCTGCCTCCCAGTTCTGTTGCCCATGGCGAGAGATTTGTTTTGTCGCTCATTGGCGGCTCACTTCTCCCGAAAGCCTCTGCTCTCGTTGTGTTTGTTTTATCAAAGCCAAAGGTACCCAGGAAGTAGTTTCATAGATCAATACAATCAGCTGCTCATACCAGCACAGCTGCTACTCTTTATTACTACTGGGACCATGAATGTTAATAATGGTAATAACCATCAGTTAGCAAGCCGTTGCCCTCTCACAGCTCTTGCTAGCTGTTCAACCTACAGTAACAAGTTCCCTTTATTCGTCACCACACCCTCTGAGCTAGATTTCCATTCTACAGATGAGCAATTTGAGGTGACTCAGCTAATAGGAACCAGCCTCAAAGCCACTTCACTGCTGGATGTTCAGAGCAAGGTTGCTGGGCTTAGTAATAGAATGTTACTGCGACAGGAGATGCTGGTGCTAGGACCCGTTGCTGTTTTACCAGACAAGTCCAGCGAGCTGTCTTCAGATTGCCAGCCCTCTGGCTTTGGGAAGGGAGCGCCGTCCTCAAGCCTTTTCGTTTCGTTTTCATTCTGCGTATTTCCCCCTCACTGAATTTCCCCTCATCGAAAATCCAGGGGCAGCCATATTCAACCTGCGTATGTTGACGTATAGGTCTCCCCCTGCTCTGTCCTGTGCTCCTCCTCTCCCATGAAATATGGACGGTTTTGTTTCAGGTTGCAGTGACACAATCAGAAAACAATCCGATTTTAACTAGAATTGGAAATTAAGCCAGACTGGCTTCCAGGAGGAGCTGCTCTCCTCCCTGCCCCCCCCCCCCTTCTGTCTTCCTGCCCGTGTTCCCAGAGGGGGTGAGCTGCAGAAAGATGCAGTCCTTGTTTTCCTTCTCGAAGGATGACAGTGAACTGAAATGCTCAGGAAGGGGAATTGTTTCTTCCTATGTGGCTGGAAATTTCCTCCCAGCAAAATGGGGTATGAAAGGGACGAAACAGGTGTGTGAGCTAGGATCCCTCCAGGGGAGGTCATTGCGAAGGAGACTGACTGCATTCGCTCCCTCTCATGCACACCCATCCACGCCACCCAGCACCCCACACATCCCTGTAAATACACCTCCGACCACAGTGAAAGAGCTTAATTCATGACTAAGGACATAGAGGCAATGGCCCTCGTAAATCGCTTCCATCAGGGGTGATTAGCAATCCGTTTCTTGTTGTGAATCTTCTCCCCTGTTTGCCTCCCCTCTGCAGCAGGCTGTCTTTGCAGACTGAGTTCCCCACAGCAGACATTTTTAAGAGCTTTCTGTCAAGATGCTAACAGCATCCTCAGCTTTTAGGACCAAATCTGCCTCCCTTAATTTTTCTTCCTCTGCTTCTGTTTGGAAACACACACCCCCCTCCACCCCCTGTGCGTAGCTATGTATATTACCATTGCCTGGCCCTCCTCCAAGCAGAGTGGGAAAGGAAAAGCCGTTTCCATTTCCAAGAAGAGCCGTTTTCCCTCTTACCTGATGCTTGTGTGCTGATGCCAGTTAGAGCGTAGCCTTCAGAGGCAGGGTGGACCCGAGCTAAGGGAATGATGCCTTTCCCCCTCTGCTCTGGGCTCTCCTTGATGTCTCTCTCGCCACCGTCTGAGTAATCCCACTGCCGCCCCCAACGCTCACACTATTCATTTCTTCAGATCAGCATCATTCACCATGGCAACCAGCAGGCATAAGTACGCAGGATGCTTTCGGGACCAGTCTGGAAAGGCTTTTGTCCAATGAGAGGAGCTCTTGTTTATTTGGGGGAGAAAAAAAAAAGGCAAACAAATCTGACCCTCAGAGTGGTATTAATTCTTCCAAGGCTCCTAAATTTTCTAATTAGCTCAGGGTTTTTTGTGTTCTTTTTGTTTGGTTGTTTTTGTGGGGTTTGCGGGGGGGGGGGGGGGTTGCCACATCTAGATACTCTTTGGACAATGATTTCGAATGCAAAGATGCCCTTCTCTATTATCCCACAACTAAAACAGTGATTTCATCTCCCTCCCACCTCACCCCACTCCCACCCCTATATCGTATCCCTCCTCTGCAGTCTTCTTCATTCTGGTCGCCTGTGGCATTACCTAGGTATATGACACAGGTCAAGAGTCTTTTATTCTCTGGGCCTCAGTTCTATTATCTGTAAAGCTGTGGGCATGGGCTACATGGGGTGGCAGATAGAAGACATGGGTCCTACCCCTGACAAGTCCTGAACCTGTGTCAGGCTTACTAAACCATCGTGGTGGTTCTTGTCCTGGGTTGGTTTGAATGACCCCGCAAAATTCAGGTCCACACAGAACCTCAGAATGTGACCTTATTTGGAAATAGGGTCTTTGAGGAATTAGTTAAGGATCTCAACATGATCTTATACTGGATGTAGAGGGAGTCCTAAACCCAATGACTGGTGTCCTTCAGAGGAAGAGGAGAGGGAGATATACACACAGAGAGACACCACAGGAAGAAGCTATGTAAAGACAGAGGCAGAGAGTGGAGTGATGCTGCCATAAAGCAGGGAACGCAGGGGTCACCAGCAGCTGAAAGGTGCAAGGAAGGATTCCCCCCTGGAGCCTTCGGAGGCAGCGTGGCCCTGCTGACTCCTTGAGTCCAGGCTTCTGGCCTTCAGAACTGTGAGAGATGCGAGACTTCCATTGTTTTAACCCACCACATTTGTGGTAATTTGTTAAAGCAGCCACACAGAACTACTACAGTGCTCCTCCCATTGGGGCTCAGAAACACAGCCTCAGAGTCCTTCTTAACACAACCCTCCCAAGAAACTGCCATCAGTCAATCATTTGGAGTTGGCACCAGAAACTCTTTACTACTCCTGGGTTGGATGTTCACCAGAGTTCCTTTTCTTTAAAGAATCCTGACTTTGCTTCCTTGCCCTTTTTCACTTCCCTGCCTCGGAGCTTCCATCCCCTTCTTTTCCCCCCCCACCTTAAAAGAATACATTACCGCTGTTCTGTTGGAGAGATCAGAGGGCAGGCTGAAATAGAGAATGCAGTTCTGTCATCTTAAAGCCACTGAGCCCGAGGTAATCTGTTACAGCAACCCTAGCTCCGATAGATGGGAACCTGAGTTATTTACACAAATTATGTGTTGTTAAAAGTCAGCGTTTTTCTTCTCAGTTCTTGGCCAAAGTAGCCAAGTGCACCCCTGAAGGTTTCTTTGTGATTCATGTTAGGGATAATCAAAAAATCGCAAAGAGTTGCCTGGTGAGTCACAGAAACCACCCCCACCCCACCCCATCCCCCGCCCCCTGCCAATGGTCTCTGTGAGGTGTGGAGTCGTTTTGGCCAGCGTCTCTTGGTTAGCCGTGCTCTGTGACTTTCCCGTGGCCTTGGTTAGCTGTGCTGTGTGGCTTTCCCGTGGCTTCGGTTCTCCCAGGGGCCTGTCACAATCTGCTGTAATTCTTGCTAATGGTAACTCCCCACAGAGTGCGAAGGCATCCTCTCCACAGAAAGGCCAGTGTGCTAGTCTGCAGGTGCCTTTTGAAAAGGTTATTTTGAGCGGAATAAAAATACCAATTAAGGAGCCTGTGGAGTGATAAAATAGAACTCAAGCCTTTACCACGGAAAAGGGGAATTTCCTTTTAATGCTTCTGGCTGCCATTTTGAACACTGAGCATTTTATTGAGAAGTTGAGATGCTCAGAATATGAGGCCTTACGAGTCCTTTGGCTTCATGGATCCCAAGAGAAGGGACCGCATTCCTCGGGCCATGGCAGGGGTGGAAACTGAGTCCCTGGCCGGGAGTCGGCCTGCTCCTTTGGGCACCACCATTCACCAGCATCCAGGGCAGCCAGTGCCGCGCTAGGTGAGTGAGGTCAATGGCCCAGGAAGTCACAGCCCAGCCACGTGCACCCTGGCTCACCTTCAGGGAGGCCCATCTGCAGTGTGTCCACGTTGTAGGCTCTGCCACGTGTATAGGCCAGGCTGTGTACACCAGATATAAATCACTGCCTGAGGAAATCAGCCAGGAGTGGGGTTCCTGTGCCCTTCCTGAAGGTGGCGGTAAAGGGTCCAAAACTGATTGGCATCCAGGGCTCAGAGTACAGGCTCTGAACCCTCCCAGGCTGGGCTCACATCTGACCTGTGTGGCCTTGGATGAGTTCCTTCACTTTTCATACCTTGGGGAACGCCTGTGTAAAATGCAAATGTCAATAATGCCTGCCTTAGAGTGTTGTAGCAGCGAGATGAACCCCTCTCTATAAAGTGCTGGCTCTGTAAAAGTAGCAGTGATTACTAAGAAGAGGTCAGTGAGTCAGAGCCATTTCCTGAGTTGGTTAGTCCACAGGCTGCAATGGGCAAGGTTTGTACCCTGCATGATGCTACCTTCCCTCGGGCGTCTGGAGGCCAAGTGCACCTGCCTGAGCCTGAGAACTCTCACTTCAGGTCAGGGTTGATGTTAAAGGTAAAAAAGTTCCATCAACTGATTAGTAATCAAAATTAGCACATGAGCCCAAACTTTAAAAGTATATTATCTAAGCAAAGTAAATGATATAGAATATATCATACAGCTACCTTCTAAGTGCTGCAGATTGGGGCACAAATCATTCTTTCAATTATACCAGTGATTTCCGGATCATTTTTTGGTCTTTAGAAAGTATTGGTGTGGTCGTCACTGGCTACATGATGCCCCACGGCATGATTTGACCTCAGGGAAATGTATCCTAGTCCTGCAATGCCTTCCCCATTCAGTCATCGTCCTGAGGGGCTTTGCTGTAGCAACCAGCTGGGTCCATACCTGGGCGCAACCTCTTGCCACGGGGCCTGACCTGGGGAGTCTGCCTTGGCCCTGTAGACAATACCAGCAGTGCCACCCACTTTGCTGCTGCCACCCCTACTTGTGTCTGCGTGGTTACACTCCCAGGATACACGTTATTTATTCACCATCTGGAGAATTCCGTGATTTTGGCAATTTATACATATAGCAGAATATCATCTTGTATTCCCCCTCAGGCAAGTCACCTCACTTAGATTCCTCCTCTGCTAAATGGGGATGGTTGCACCTGCCTCACCTGGTGCCGTAGGCTGGTAATGGCCCCCAGAGATGGCAAGCCCTGATCCTGGGACCTGTGAATGTTACTTGATTTGGATAAAGGGCTTTGCAGAGGTGACTAAGTGAAGGATAGTATGGTAGGAAGATTATCCTGGATTAGCAGGATGAATCCTAAATGCCATCACAAATGTCCTTATAAGAGGGAGGTTTGCCCGGCCAGTTCAATGGTTGAGCATAGACCTATGAACCAGGAGGTCAGGGTTCAATTCCAGGTCAGGGCACATGCCCAGGTTGTGGGCTCGATCCCCAGTGGAGGTTGTACAGGCGGCAGCCAATCAATGATTCTCCTCATCATTGATGTTTCTATCTCTCTCTCCCTCTCCCTTCCTCTCTGAAATAAAAATATATATTAAAAAAAAGAGGGAGGTTACACACATACAGAGGAGAAGACCAGATCTCAGCAGAGACATTGGAAGATTGGAATGATGCAGCCACAACACAAGGAATGCTGGCTGCCACCAGAGCTGGAAGAAGCAAGGGACGAATTCTTCTCTAGAGAGTCTGGAAGAAGTGTACCTGCTGACCTGATCGTGGCCCAATGATACTGATTTTGGATGATAGATTCTAGAATTACAAGAGAATAAATTTCTGTCATTGTAAGCCCCCCCTCCCCCCTTTTGTGGTAACTTGCTACTGTAGCCACAGAATGCACCTGGACAGTTATGAAGAAATTATTAGCTGAAAACATTCATAAACAGAGAAGTATTATACACATATCCTCATGACTATATTCGATTATGGAAAAAAAAGTGATGACATTGGTTTCCTCTAAAAATTTAGTGTTAGAGGGTTGATATGGTATCTCTGAATAGGAAGGCCAGTTCCTGCTCTCCCTCTTGCCTTCTCCAAAGGACTGACTTTGTCAGACAAGGAAGAGGAGCATCATTTCTTGAGGTCTCTACAGCACCTGCCTTGACTCTTTCAGCCTCTTAGCTGAGAAGACCAACAAGGAGCCCAGATGTTGGAGACCCAGCCCTACAGCTCAGTAGACGTCAAGAAGGGATGGACAGACAGACACATCTGCACATCCCCATGCCCTAGCAATGGATTTAAACCTGTAACTCAGAAGTTACTAGTTTTTTATGCCTCTTTCCTGTGCTCTTCCCTGGTGTTGCTGTTTTATTCATTTACCTACAGGGATTTCAGAATTTGCAGCTCGCTCTATGAACCGGATTAGAGAGCTGTGTTTGTGGCTGATAATATTCAGATTGCTCGAAGAACATTAGAGAAATTATAACTAAAACAGGAAATTAGAAACAGTTTTAATTCCTCTTGGGATCTCTGAAAACAGCAATTGTGATTCCAGAAAGCAGATACAAATTGCTTGCAAATTCAGTTTGCTAAGTAAATAGGTCTCGTTGTTTAAAGTGGCTAGCCCTGTTTACAATCTGGTGAAAGAGGCCCTCTGACTAAAAGGCCATATACCACACTTTAAAATGGCGTGAACAGTAGCTTCTATGTTATGTATGCTTTATCACAATTTTTAAAAGGTCCGTGTACAGATAATATAGTGCCCAGGAACTGCCAGGTCGAACTCACCATATTTTTTTCCTTCTCCTTAAAATACTGTTTTGCCTTTTTAAAACAATGCACCTCTATGTCACACATTAATAAGATGGCTCTGATTTCCTGCATCAGGATAATTTATCTCTTAAGATCTCATAAAATTATTTTGTGCAGTGTG